CGGTCGGCCAAATAAGTGGTCAAAGTGTGAATCAGAAAAAAAAAAAAAAAAAAAAAAAAAAAAANTCTTTTTGGCTAAAAAAAAATTCACAGGAAGAGTTGTTTTTGTATGCTGCTATGGGTAATGTTGAAATCACAAGGAATCTCTTTGGATGCTAATCTCATTTGTTGTTCCTAAAGACCCAAGTGGCTTAGAGTGACAACAAACTTAGCATTTTAGATGGCTAAATTTTACTGAAGGAGTAATCTACTTGAGTCTATTTGGTTAATCTTCTAGATAATTGGGTTAATTTAGGTAAGTTATGCCATTTAAGAAATAATATAACTAGAGAGAAGCAACAACCACTACAACCCCGACAACATACAATAGTCGGGGACAAAATGGTGACAAGGAACATCTCCTTCAAAAAGTAAAAAGCCAAAATGAGTGGCAACCTGAATGAAATTATTGTCAAGATAATAGGAAGAGTCAAGAAGGCATCACAGAGTTGGTTGGAAAGATTCCAACTTGACGAGGAGTTCTAGAATTACCTAAATCTAGAAACATGTTCGACAATTCTTTTATTGGTTTCGTTGAAGTTTTCTAAAACCTTGAGTTTCTTGGTAAACTATTGATTTTAATTTTTGGTTGTCAACACACTGTTTGACGAAAAAAATTAAATGAATATGTATGGTTTGATAGTATTTCACAATCTTTATTGTAATAGTAAGTAATATTTGATGTTCTAATTCATAAAGATGTAATCTTTTATTTCATGATAGAAGTTGAGCATTTTGTGGCATCCGACTTACGAAAATAAAGTCTGGCAAAATATATTTTTAAAATTTTTAAATATGTGATTTTTGTCAATTTAGCCGGTAAAAATTATAATAAGTATTAAAATGGTGCAACCACAAACAACTACAAGGAAAAATCGACCAAAGTTGCCATGTAAACATAAAGTGATTGGACATTGTTAGAAACGCCATCTGAGGAAAACCAATATCTGAACCAACGGTCGGCCAAATAAGTGGTCAAAGTGTGAATCAGAAAAAAAAAAAAAAAAAAAAAAAAACAATTGCCTGTGGGCGTGACATGAATGTCTGAGTTTTGGTACCGACAATCAGATTGAGATTGCTAGAGCTACTACCTCCACTTCACGACTTAGACTACGGTATCCAAAGAATAAATTTGGTATCGTATCTCTAATTTTTATTATTTTAATGAGTATTTTTATAATTTTTGTAAGTTATTTTATTATCAAAAATTTTATCACTTTTATGGATGATTTATTTTTTTGTTTAGGTATTATTATCACTGTCGTGTGTATTTTTATCACATTTGTGATAATTATTTTTATTATTTTTTTTATTAAAAAAATATATATTTGTGACTATTTTTATCACATTTGAGAATGTTTTTACCACGGTTGTGGTAACTATTTTTATCATTTTTTTAATAACACAACAATGGTAAAATGACACAAATATGGCAAAAGTGACCACAAATGTTGTAAATGGTGATATGATATCATTTTTTTTTTCGATATCATAGTCAAATCTTTCACTTTATTGTAAGAAGGATTACTTATGAAAAAAGAAACATAATATCAATAGATATCTCAAGCGATAATAAAGATTAATTATAAATTCAAATACTTTAAATTTGAATTTTATTAATCTATTGTTGTCAAGTCATGAATAATTTATTCTTCATGAGTCATTAATACTTACATACTAACATGAATAATTACACTGAAAAAAGAATTAGTCAAAATTATATAAGTTGATCCAAACAATTCGAACCATTAAAAAAAATAAATAAAGACACAAGACGTAATTGACAATACCATGGAAGTATCGTGGAAGAACACGCAACGCAACCCATAGAAACGAGCCATTTTTTTTGAAAGGGACAGAAAAGAAAACAGCAAACATGTGAACTGGCTGTAATTATTTGTCTCTGTACGAAAATTCGCTTTTTTTCTAGATGGTCGAAGAAAGGACACTTTGGGGCGTTTGGTATATGAGTTTGAGAGTAATTTAGATTATGTGTCACGAAATAAACCCTTAAACTCAAGTTTAGTCTAGAGTTTGGAAATTCAGTCGTTTGGATGGTCTGGTTATGACACTCATGAACTTGGGTTTCATGAAATTCATGGGAGATGGATTTTATAGGTGGGTTAATGGGTTTAATATTTAAAAGACATTTATACCCCTCATATATTCCCACATGAGTTTAGATTAAATTTGTTAAGGGCTAAAATAGTCATTTATATACAAATATATTATCATAATAGTCATATATATTTATTTATTTCTGCGCATATCAAACATGAGTATGAACAACATTGATTATTGAATTCTATTTTTGAATTTCATCTTTGAATCTCATTTTTGGGTCAAACTCGAGTTTAGACAAACCAATTCAAACCTCTCTCAAGAAACATACCAACCAGACCCTTATATGTAAAACATGTGATGGTATTGAAATTTAAAATTTTGGTATCATATATAAATTTATCAGTTTGTGGAGGGTTTTATCATTATTATAGTATCAAAAAAAAAGAAGGTAAAAATAGTTACTACAATAGAAATAAAAATACTCATAAATATATAAGAAAAGTGGTAAAAATACTTACCACAAATATAGTAAAAATACCGACAACAATAATAAAAATACCCACAAAAATTATAAATTTCTTAGTTGTAAAATAACCAACAAAAATTGTAAAAATACCCTTTAAAATAATAAATTTTAGAGTTATGGTACCAAATTTTTTTAACCTTACCATATTCAAGTCCCAGTCAATTAATAGAGGTGGAGTTTTGAGAAAACTTCCCTACCTAAATACTTAATTACTAGAACTTTAAAATATTTAATTAACTTATTTCAACTAAATTATTTCATGTGTCATTTGTAATCACTCTTATCATTTTTTTAAATTACTTTAAATTAAAATTTTTAAATATCTTCCTTAACTATTTTAAATTTAAAAAAAAATATCATTCTCAGATCATCTCAAATAGTCTCTATTTCTACTCAATTCTATATTTTAAAGTATCATTTTCTAAAAATTCATATCTAATAGACTCTTTATTTGGATTTAATAAAACTAAAGATTTGAATTTGACTCTCTATATTTGTAGATTCAACCTCACTCTTTTTTATAAAATTAATGAATGAAAAATGACACGTATATTTTTATATTAAATGTTATTCACTATAAAATAGAGAGTTCTATTGGGGTTGTTAAAAAAAATTCATTATATTTCAAATTTTCATCAAAGATGTTATCTATTTTTTTTAAAAAAAAATGCTTTATAAAAAAGTAGTACTATTGGAGATGCTCCAACACATTAATAGGTAATATCCAAAAATATTAAGCTCAGGGAGGATTTAATGGTAACGTGATGGTTGGATTAGATTACAAATTTCTGTGTATCGCGCGGAGTGCATGTTGGTATATATGTATATACCGATGGTATGTTAAACTAATGGTTGTATGGCACATGCATGCTATAGTCTAGACGCCAAATATCTATCTTACTTTCAAGGGCAAGCTATGACGACATACACTTTAAAATGCGTAACTGTGGAATTTTACCCGGTAACTATGGACTCAATATCACTTTATTCTCGATTTTTATAATACTTTCCACTACTTAAGTTAATGTCACATTATCCCAGGCATAAATTTCTATTATATTTTCCTCAACGTGTCAAGACAAAAATGAAATTATTTTTTGTCTAATTTTAACGAGCGTGTATTATTGGGACAATGTTAAACTAATAATAACATAATAGTTAAAATGACCTTCTAATTGCAACAGTCAAATCTAACTACTATTGGAAATTTGGACAGATTGCAGTACATGAGTCACAATATTCTACGCCTTCTGCGTAGATCTAACGATTAACCCAAGTCAATTTTCACACCATATGCGGCTTTGAATTGACCCAGTCTCAATGTTGGACAAACACAATCCCATCCCAACCACATTAATCCACGGATTACACGCGGTATCTGCTAAAGTACCAATAGAGTCACTCACTCACTCACTCACTATCCTCATCACCCCTCTCCCTGGTATTAATTCCAATGCGCACTTTTTGGGCGCACTTGGCACGTGATCACATGACACATGTAAGCGTGTTATCAAAATCGTGCGGTGGATGATTAAATTTTATATTACTTTTGAACACAACCCCAATCACACTCATTTGTGTGCCAAGTTATGAATGTTAATATTAACAATTAGTTAATTAATTATTTTTTAAAATTAAATTTAAATTTAAATTCTAAGAATTGAGACTTTCTATTGGTGAGTGTTGTTTGTGCTTTTACATAGGGGTTGTTCATCTCTATACAATAAAGATATCTTCAACAGATTGTTTAATTTTAATGAATTACTTCAATTTCTAGACAATTTTAAAAGAGATAAGGGAATATCTTCAGAATTTGTTTTCCCAACATTGGCCACGGGACAGATCTAAAGGATTGAGAAAATGAACCCCCAAATACACGACTTGCCTTTGTCCCTTTCCCTATGTTCAAGACCACGCCAAAACAGAAGCGACAGCTCAGTCGGTCGTGGCATTTCAAATTAAGTTGCCTAGGTCAAGATCCATTAACATAATATAAAATTAATAAGTTTAGATTTTTTTTCCGTGACTCGTTTTATAAATGAGTAGATTCGACTCGACATGATTAATAAATATATTAAATATAAATAAAATTAATTTTAAAAAATACATGATACAACCCATTAATACCGTCTCACCAGCACATATAATAAGCCTAAACTTACCCAATGAATTCACAAAACAGCAAGCGAACTCAGCCCGAGTTGTACGCGTGCATTGACCCCATCAACTAAAATCAAAGTCAAGTCAAGCCGTTTTAGACTTAGCAACCGAATCCGCAACGCGTTACATGCATCATAGAACGAGTCAAGGCAAGCTCTCTTTATTAGACTTTCGAGTCATGCCATTGCCAATCCAATCCCTCCTTGGTAATGGAAACAATCCATTTCCAGAATTCACCACCTATTCCCAGCAGCACCATTGTTTCGAACAAAGCTCCAGCAATGGTGTCGCATTCGAACCAGCTTCACTTTGTACTAATCCCATTGCTGGCTCAAGGTCATATGATCCCCATGATAGACATGGCCAGGTTATTTGCAGAGCATGGTGTGTTTGTAAGTTTAGTCACCACCCCACATAATGCCTCTAGATTTGCTACAGTCATTGATCGAGCTCGAATTTCTGGGCTCGGAATTCAGCTCATTGAAATCCCCTTTCCCGGCGAAGAATTTGGGCTCCCACCGAAATGCGAGAATCTCGATAGCGTGCCTTCACGAGATCTTATAAGAAATTTTTTCAGTGCACTTAATAAGCTACAACACCCATTGGAACAATATCTACAACAACATAATCCCCCTCCAAGCTGTATAATTTCCGACAAGTCCCTCTCTTGGACATCTGAAACAGCTCGAAAGTTTCGGGTTCCGAGGCTAGTTTTCCATGGAATGTGCTGCTTTTCACTGCTAAGTTCCCATAATGTGAAGCTCTATAATGCTCATCATTCTGTCAATTCGGACTCGGAACCTTTTGTGGTACCAGGAATGCCATATAGGATTGAGATAAAGAAATCCCAGCTGCCAGGAGCATTTGTTACTCTGCCAGACTTGGATGATATTCGAGGCCGGATGCAAGAGGCCGAATCATCTGCCTATGGTGTTGTGGTGAATACGTTCAGTGAATTGGAGCACGAGTGCGTCGAGGAGTACAAGAAGGCCATCAAGAAAAACGTGTGGTGCATTGGACCGGTTTCACTGTGTAACAAGGAGGACTTGGACAAGTTTGAGAGAGGAAACAAAGCCTCAATTGGTGAGAGACAGTGCTTGGCATGGCTTGATTCAATGCAACCAAAGTCTGTTCTTTATGCTTGTCTTGGCAGCCAATGTCGGCTTGTTCCATCACAATTAATAGAACTTGGACTGGGCTTAGAAGCATCAAATCACCCATTTATTTGGGTGATAAAAACAGGAGAAAATTTCCTCCCAGAGTTAGAGAAATGGTTATTGGAGGAGAGATACGAGGAGAGAATCAAAGGGAGGGGACTTTTGATTAAGGGTTGGGCCCCACAAGTTCTTATTCTGTCCCACCCAGCAATCAAAGGATTCTTAACACACTGCGGTTGGAACTCAACTATAGAAGGGGTGTGCTCGGGTGTGCCAATGATAACATGGCCTATGTTTGCAGAGCAGTTCTTCAATGAGAAACTGATTGCAGAAATCTTGAGGATTGGGGTTCGGGTTGGCGTTGACCTTCCTGTTAGATGGGGGGAGGAAGAGAAGGTCGGGGTGTTGGTGAAGAAACATGAAATTAAAGAGTCTATAGAAAGACTAATGGATGGAGGAGAAGAAGGAGAAGAGAGAAGAATTCGAGCAAAGGAGCTGGGTGTGATAGCAAGGGCTGCCGTAGAATATGGAGGATCTACTCATGTCAACATTACAGTTTTGATCCAAGATATTATGAAACAATCCACTAAAGGTATGTTTGATACGAGAGAAAAGTAAAATAATAAAAATTTGGAAGGATGAAAAAGAGGACAATTAGATAAAACATTTCGTTTAGTTTGGAAAAAAAAGTGAAAGTAAGGATATTTGAGGAATTTGCCTTCCTTTCAACTCATCAAAATCCATCCGTCGAAAATTGAATGAAAAAGTAAGAGGAAAGATAATTATGTATATGGAAATGTAGGTTATCTATCTAATATATACATATAACCTATTGTTGCATTACATATTTGAAATGTATTAATTTATTTTGAGGATATAATGATAACATAAGCTTTTACATTTTTTTCCCTTCTAGTTTTTCATCGATATCGAAATATAAAAAAATTATCCTCCCCATTTTTCATCATTCTTACCAAACAAAAAGATGCTCTTTTCTATGAGAGTAGAAGATGTATTTTTCTTGCTTTTCTTTTTTCTGCTTTTTCATCATTCATACCAAACGTTCCATAAACATAGTGTGTTTAAAAAAAAGTCCGTTATTGTGATGGTTAATTTTGATCATTTAATTGTATTGTTCAACCAATATACCAATATAAAATCTGCCCAATACAACTTCAAGTGCAACAATAGGAACCCCTTGATTCCATAGTAGAAGGATAATATGTCAAATAATGTTTTTTACATCTAATTAGAGACTTAATTTGTGAATCTAATCAATTATTTTCAGGTTAAAAGCAAGCTACATTGAATATTGATAACCCAAGGCGAAGATATGATTCTCTCTTGAGGGGACAAAAGATGACTAAAAAATTCTACAAATTGATACGAAAAATAAAAATAAAAATTAAATTCAATTGTGACAAAATATACTAAGATTCCAAACCAAATTACTAAACCAAAAAGTCAAATCAATTTTCATTTAGTCTAAACCAAAAAGGTGCGCAGTCAATTTCTCGTAGTATATTTCAATTCAATTTTTTATTAAAATAGAAAACAATATTTGTCTACAATCTCAATAATTATTTACAATTGATTAATTCTATACAATATCACATACGTTGTGACAAAATAATCTTTTATTTAGTTACAGTTGAGATCGTCCTTCATCATATGGAAAAATTGATTCTTTGAAATAGTATTAGATGCACATTGAAATCAAATTTCCCTGTGAAGGAAAAAGGGCCTCCCACAAGATGCAAGAATCTATGAGTAATATTAGATTAACGGAGTTTTTGAAAGTTTTTACTTTATTAAAAATATAATGAGACATATTTTTATAGGTAATATAGTCGATCAATTTTTTTTATATAGAAATTGATATTTATACATAGAGAATAAATATATAATTAAAAGATATGTTAGAGATAATTTGGAGGTTTAAATATATAAGTATATAATGATAATTTAGATATTTAATAGTGGCATTGTTCAAGGGTGTATATAGAAATCAAAAGTTTTTCATTTTTTTTGACATTTTATAGTAATTAGTTGATGCACACGTTCGTTACACGTAAATTATTTTGATTTTTTACTTTTTATTTTGCATTAAGTTGTCTTTGTTTATTTTTATGCCCTTGTTGAGCGATGTTGGAAAATAGAGTTTCGTTACTACAACAAACTAATAAGTGAATATAAAAATATAAGAAATGTTAGAGCACTGCTTTGGGAGGAGCAAGGGGCGCAACGAAATAAAGTTTGAATAATTCCGGAATAAGTGAATGATTGCACTACGGATTGATTTAAAAAACAAAGCTTTGATATGCATTGTCTAACAAAAGTAAGCCAACGTTTTATTGTAAGACCTGAACATGCATGACAAATATATAATATTTATAATAAATATATTCATATGTGACATGCATGTGTAGGAATAACAACCAGTTTTTAATTAACTGTAATGATATGAGACCTAAACTCAAACGTTGAATATTTTAACATTTATATAGAATTTATAAATAACGACTATAGGGAGAATTGTTTTATTTAAGTGTAAAAAATTAAATGAGAATGTTTATATTTGATATAATTTTATTATTTTATGTACGTTAGTGCATGTGAAATTATTTGAGTGGTAAGCATGTAATATTATGGGTAGCAAGCATGTAATATTCTCATGAAAATCCATGGATATGAATAATCACAAGAAAGCATGCAATATTATAAGATTATGTAAATTCAAGTATACTTTTCTTATGCTGTAATTTTATGAGGAAAGTTTAATTAGGGCGTAACCGGTTCGATTAAATATTGTTTTAACAAACTCGAGAAAACAAACTCAAATCGATTCGAGTAGGTAATTCTACTCACTGTGAATAAATTATTTTATGTGACTTGAATTGATTATAAACTACTAATTAAATTGATTCAAATAGTTAACATTATCGATGAATTATTGACTGTGATGCGATTTAATTACTACATTTGCCTTAGATAAACCAATTCAAGTAAAAACGGTACTATTTATTAACGCTTGAATGGAATTGTGAATATTGTGTGCCAGGAGCAAGCACTACTAAGAACGCTGCTTAAAAAGCTCCGGCGGAGGAGTCATCCATAAGATAGAATTTTTCGTAAGGTAAGTGCGCTAATCTTCATTTTATTTACGCATAAATAATTAATTATATGTTTGACTGCTTATCTGTAAGATCATGTATTAAAATTAAATAAGAATAATATTATCTTAAGAGTTCTCCTAAGATAAATAAAGTGATAGTTCAAACTTAGAATCATTGTTAAAATATTAATTATGAAGTTTAAGTTTAAAGCGTATTTGACTTTCGAAGTAAATTGAGTATTGAAGATGTTTAAGTTTGAGAAGGGTGATTAAGTAATTTTATAAATATTTTTAGATAAAAATTATGCTTTCATTGAATTCGGAAGATCGAAAAACATTGGAAGAGGTTGTATGAGTATTAGAAGTTTAGAAATATTTTAGAGTTAAAACCTATTTTAGAGAGAATTCGGATATGAAGGAATTTAATACTTCCTTAGTATTTGGACCATAACTTTCTACCCATATGTCTGATTCACCTGATACATATCCAGAGTAGAAAACTAGACTTCAAGGACTACAAAAGTGTATTTGACGAAAATTTCCTAAATCGACATCTAACTAGATCAAAACTTCCTAAGAACTTTCATTGAGACTTAGAGTATATTTATGTATATTTTCCATCTTCTTGATAATTATATGATAAATATGTATGAGTTCTTAGTTTCTTTATCATTAAAACGTAGTTTTGAACAAAATATATGTTTGGGTTCAAGGAATACTTGTTCTTAAATTTCCAATACCCTAGTTTTCTAGATGCATATTTGATTGTGAAAATACATGAATTCTTGAGTTCTAAATTCCTATTTTTGATTAAATCATGTTTTCATCTAACACTTGTTCTTGTTCCAAGAAATTATGATTTTTGGCAAAATCATACAATTTTGAATATCGAATTTGTGAATGTTTTTTTGATATAATCTTTTGCATATTTTAATTCCTTTATTATTGTAGTATATTAATAATTGTACAGTTGTGATACTTGAATTGTAAATGGAAATTGTAATTGGTAATATTGTGATGTTGAGAAAATTGTGGTTTCATCTCTTGTATGGTTTGGGTGTGACAGACTTAAATTGCCTTCGATAGTTGTCGTATAGTGTTAGAGGTTAGTCTATTCCAGTGGAGGTGAAATGGTTATATAACACTTGTAGTAGATTATTGTTTGTAAGAGAAACAACTATTGTTCACGTAGGTTCGAGGCTAAGGGATGATATACTTTTCCTTGAAAGGATTCGTCAATATCGTGGGAAACAGTATATGCCCTTGCTAAAGTAGTTTGTGATTTGCCCTACGGGGAATGATTAAAATTGTGTGATTGTAATGGGTGAACGAGATTGAATTGTTGTGTAGACTCCTGAGATATAACCAACATACAGGAGAATGAGAATAAACTAATATACATGAGAATATGAGATACCTCCGTGACAGAATCTAATATTATTGTTTGAGTTGTTTGTGTGAGTGTACAATGAAAAGCTAAATAGTTTGAGACATCTAAACGATGGATGTCTACGTGACGTATTTTGTTTGCGTAGTTAAGATGTCCAAGGGATGAAAGTTAATTGTTAGAATAGGTTGTCTACATAACTAAAAGTAAATCAAGTGTTTCAAGTTGTCATTGTGACTGAGATAAGTTATGGTAGAATTTGTCTCAGTGACGAGAACTAAAGTTAGTGTTGTGCTATGAGTCGTTTGAAAGACAAACATAAAATAATATTTTGATTTGAGTTGTCTGAGTAACGAATTTATACCGATATGATGGTAAATTGTGTTGTGTTTTGTTGTCTGGGTGATGAAACGATTATCTCTGTGTGAGGCCGTAGGGCAACGGAATAGGATATTGAAAATAAATTATGGAATCGTGAATAATTGATTCCTACCAATGAGCAAGGGTGTCTCATTAATTTTTTTTGCTCTATTTCTGAAATTTTCAATGAGTACTCGCTGAAAAACTTCCTTGAAATCTTTTCAGGTAAACTATACATATGCCTGTAGTCCACGGTTGAAACTAGAAGTCTAGTCAAGAGTTGTCGGAAGAGGGCTCGTGTTAGTTTTTGTTTTTGTTCTTTTACCTTTTTGGTTGTATCTAATGTAAATGTTTGTGTTCACCTCTTTGATGTGTAAACGAAACTTAAAAAGTATTTTTGGGTTATGCATATATTGTATGGTAGCGAGCCGATATGTCACACGCGCATTACTTTTTATTAAGAAGTGGCCCAAAGTTATATATTGCCAAGATGGGTATTTCTTTAAAGGAAAAATATATCTTTGTAGCAGGATTGCTTATTTAAGTGTGGTTGCCTAAATTTTATTTTTAGTACAAAAGTCGAAACTGGGTGTTACAATTATACTGGTGCTGCATACAACAAAAACTTAAATTTTTATTGCCACCACCACATTCACAAAATTATAATATTTAAGGAATTGAAAATCAAAACTGCATGAAAACATGGCTGGCTTTATAAACTGACATTATCAAAGTAGAATATATATATATTTACTTTGGATGATTTGCTTTGAAGAACAAAGGAGATTGGATTCTAGATTGAGAATTTGTTTAGGCAGATGCTTTAACTCTCCTGCAACGGTTGATACATATCCACATAGAGAATCCAATGCATCCCTCATAAATTATGCCACTTGCAATGACACTTGGGGCACTGTACGATTAGTCCAAAGTGAACTTGGAAGATCTGAGACATCACTCCCTTCATCTAATAAGCAAATATGATAATAAAATTTTTCACCATATAGACATTTATGCATGCTTGTATGATGACCTTGCTTGAATCACAAAACCAGTGTTCTAGCTAATAACATATATTCAATGATCTCTAGCAAAATTCTAGCCGCCATCAAGTTTGTTCAATTAACAAATTATCAGTTGGTTCGATTAACTCACTAAATATATCTAATTTTACTACCAAATTAAATACTTCCCATGCAAAAACAGAATGAAAAACTTAAAATTTTGATTAAGTTTCTGATCAGTTTAATTCGATGAAAGGACAAAAGAAGTCTCTATGTCCTTGAAGAAAGTTCATAGAAACAAAAGAATCAGAATAACAAATAATTACTTATGTAATCCAACCCCCGCCCCTGATCAGTTTAATTCGATGAAAGGACAAAAGAAGTCTCTATGTCCTTGAAGAAAGTTCATAGAAACAAAAGAATCAGAATAACAAATAATTACTTATGTAATCCAACCCCCGCCCCTGATCAGTTTAATTCGATGAAAGGACAAAAGAAGTCTCTATGTCCTTGAAGAAAGTTCATAGAAACAAAAGAATCAGAATAACAAATAATTACTTATGTAATCCAACCCCCGCCCCTGATCAGTTTAATTCGATGAAAGGACAAAAGAAGTCTCTATGTCCTTGAAGAAAGTTCATAGAAACAAAAGAATCAGAATAACAAATAATTACTTATGTAATCCAACCCCCGCCCCTGATCAGTTTAATTCGATGAAAGGACAAAAGAAGTCTCTATGTCCTTGAAGAAAGTTCATAGAAACAAAAGAATCAGAATAACAAATAATTACTTATGTAATCCAACCCCCGCCCCTGATCAGTTTAATTCGATGAAAGGACAAAAGAAGTNCTGCTGCATATTATTTGGTTTTTCCCATGCTCCATTGTAGTCCCTACTGCTAGCTCAAACTCTCTTCTACCAAAGATGTAGTTACTTCCAACCTATTTTCCTATCCAATTGACATCTGATTTCACATAAATTCTAGTCACTTGATGTAACCGAATGCTACGAATGATAACGTATCCTATCAAAATGCACCTCACTAACAAAAAGATTTTATGACATGATGTCAAACACAAAATTTTCAACAAATCCCACAACTTCCCATATGTGTGAAATTTTATCAAAGTTAAAACGTACACAATCAATACTAGAAATGTTGTATTAAATGATTTCAGGAGACATTGAACAATACTTGCCAACAAATGATCTCTTACTGATTGCATAAGTTATTTAAAAGGGTATAGACATCAGCGAAAAAAAGAGGCTTGTCTGCAACAACTTCCATCCAAGGAAATACATTTCAAGAAAGGGGATCTCAAATTGTTTGAGGAGGAGTAATGTTGTTAAAGTGCTTCCAAGCTATGGCCAATTGCCACATTTGGAAGGATAATTTACAATAATGGCAACGGTGATCAGTAAGGCAATTTGACAATGCCAAAGCATTTCAAATAAGACATGCTATTTTATGGCTAGTTTAATCACGCAATAGGAAATGGGGCTCTTGACTCATTAGCCATGCCCTCTAAGGTATATATATAAGAATTTTGTTATTATAAACATAGTAGTCCCAAAACATCCAAACATATATAAAATTAAAATCTGCCTAACTTACAGATGAATGCAATACAATAGATAGATGAGGGATTCTCTATCTTCTCCTTTTTGCTCTTCATATTTTCCTCTTCATGTTGTGAAGGGGATGGTAATAAGCCTATTTGTGGGGTAAAAGTTTGTGGTGTCAAGATATTATCCAACCCCACAATCCATCCTTCAGCCCATGTTGACTATTTCTCCGCACCTTACAACTGTCTTTCCACTAAAGTCTCTCACAAGGGTGAAGCTAGCCTGACGCTGAAGCAAAGCTGCTCGAGATTGATTATCAATGTTCATTCCACTGGATTGATAAGCTTCAATTTTCCACAAAGGTTCATGCTTACCAATGGTTTGCCCAAGTAGCCTAACTGGTTCTCAACTTCATCAAGGGTAAAACTAATCCGTCAATTTTGCCTTGCCAATAGCTGTAAATGAGAATGTTGACCAGTTCCATGAAAACCCACTGTCTGAATTCCCATCCACCACCCTTTGACCCTCAAACCTATCCTGTATAATAATTATGCAAAGCAAAAAAGCGAAACCAAATCCAAACTCAAGATATTATCTGAATCACCCACAATTGACACAAGTTATTCTTACATTGCTGATACAAAGAATTCAATACACAAGATTCTGAGGCTTCCTTGATTAGCATGCATATTAAGGGCAAGAAATTGCTAAGAGCCTAGGCTGTCCCTAAATGTTGAGCTGCAAGAGCTTCACCATTCCTAAACAGAGTAAGTTATCAAAAGTATCCTAAACAAAATATTTCAATGATAACAAGCTAAAATGCTGAGTGTGCCAAAAAGAAACAACCCCCCCCCCCCACCCCAACCCCAAAACACACACACAAAGAGAGAGAGAGAGAGAGGGAGGGGGGACTAACCCACCAAATTACATTAAACAAATCGTCAGCCACAAGACCAGAACTAAAACCAGCATTGTGATTGAGAGTATTAAGGTTTTAAATTCTATAAATCATTACAGGAAAATGATGATCATTCCACATTTCAACGTAAAACCATTACCTAAAACAACCCCCAATTCAAAACCTCCAAACAATCAAAATAAAAGGGGAGAGACGGGTTTATTGTAAAATAAATTAGCCGAAGTGCAAAAAAAGAGAGGTGGCAAGATGGGTTACCAGACAATCGAAGTAGCTAATCACCTATTCTGGTATAACCAGCGAAGTAGCCATTCACCTATTTTAAGAGACTATGAAGAGACAAAGAATAAAAAGGGCATTTCCCATAAAGAAAACGTCCAGTGACCAAGACAATTAAGAGTCTAAGATAAGTCAAAACACTAATAAATTTATATAGATGGGAAACATTGAATTAAAAGGATGACAAAAACATTACAAGTAAGACAAAGAGGCTGCTTGAGGGATTAGAAGCCAGATTTCATTCAGGGATGTTTATGTCTTTTGAGTATAATATGGGGGTATTTTAGGTAATCAAAAATTTTTCTAAGATAGGTACATTTTATAGTAGTATTGATATAAATATAGATATAGATGTACAAAGAACCATGTTCCTAACTCTGTAAAGGATACAACCAACAATGAATCTAAGGAAGCATAGAGGATGGATGATCAAGGTTTAAAAGTTCTCGTTTTAATATAGAAATCACAAAATTATCACCACAATCTCTAACCCCACAATTTATAAAATCATAAAGTTGAGATAGACCATGCAGAAATGTTTTGATCCAAAATTTGAGTGGGTTCATGCGCTTTAGGTACAAGGGTTTTGGACTGCCGAGAATGGTTTAGGATTAGCTTGAACTGCATTATCATCTTTTATGTGCAATATGAACAAGAATATATAAAATAAAGATCCGGAGAGTAAAATTATTGACATTGTTCAACAATGTTCGAATACATTCAAATTATCACATCATAGTTAGTAAATTATGCACTCAAATTGTCATTGTGTCCTTAATAGATAGCATCTTGATCTAGAAACGGAATAATGCACATAGGATTGATTATTTACTTTTGGCTAATAACAAAGTCAAGAAGAAGAAAGATATAACAATATATACAAAATCCAAAAATGACATGAAGACATGAAAACTAATCCTGAACACCACTTCAGAAGGATTAGCACATTGAATTGAAATCCTTTTTATGGGAGTATGATCAAACTTGACTGGGCCGTGATTAGTGGACCTTGAGCCAAAAAAAACCATCAATTGAATTTTACACTTGTTGCANACCAAATTACATTAAACAAATCGTCAGCCACAAGACCAGAACTAAAACCAGCATTGTGATTGAGAGTATTAAGGTTTTAAATTCTATAAATCATTACAGGAAAATGATGATCATTCCACATTTCAACGTAAAACCATTACCTAAAACAACCCCCAATTCAAAACCTCCAAACAATCAAAATAAAAGGGGAGAGACGGGTTTATTGTAAAATAAATTAGCCGAAGTGCAAAAAAAGAGAGGTGGCAAGATGGGTTACCAGACAATCGAAGTAGCTAATCACCTATTCTGGTATAACCAGCGAAGTAGCCATTCACCTATTTTAAGAGACTATGAAGAGACAAAGAATAAAAAGGGCATTTCCCATAAAGAAAACGTCCAGTGACCAAGACAATTAAGAGTCTAAGATAAGTCAAAACACTAATAAATTTATATAGATGGGAAACATTGAATTAAAAGGATGACAAAAACATTACAAGTAAGACAAAGAGGCTGCTTGAGGGATTAGAAGCCAGATTTCATTCAGGGATGTTTATGTCTTTTGAGTATAATATGGGGGTATTTTAGGTAATCAAAAATTTTTCTAAGATAGGTACATTTTATAGTAGTATTGATATAAATATAGATATAGATGTACAAAGAACCATGTTCCTAACTCTG